AAAAAAAAAAATTTATATATAAAAAAATCTTGTGGTCCTATAAAACATAAATGCCTGCTACTAGGAATTGGAAGGGTCATAATCCTACTGAGGTAAGCAACAGCAGAGGCTTTTGTCTGAAAAAAGTCAGCTAGCTGTATATATAAAGTGCTCAGTAAAAAAAAAGTTAAGAAAAAGCAGGGTAAAAACAGTTAAATCACAGGTAACTAAGTTGACAGGCCTATCCCCCACAACCAAAGAAATCACAATTATTTAGATAGTAGAAGCAGGTAAATTTGAAAGCCCAGCTGAGAATTTTAACCACTTGAAAGGAAAAAATTATGTGCGGTAAACAGACATTTCACTACCGTAAGTTTGACTGATGATAAGCTCTGCATTTCTTTCCCTTTCCTATTTGGCTATGTTGTCCATTTGCTCCTCCTTTCTCCTACTATTTATTCTCCCCTTCTCAACAATTATCTACCTCAACTTTTATTATTTGATTAATTCTACTGGGCTACAACTTGCACAGCCTTCCAGGATCCAAGAGGTCATGCTCCTATGCAAAAGGTCTACTTTTGGCTCTCAGAAGTAGTCTGCTCAATAACAACAAGGTTTGAAGAGTAGATCTTAAAGACAAAAATATCCCCCCCTTCCCCCACCAAAACTCACACAAACCAAAACCAAACAAACCCCAAACCAATAACAAACACCACCACCCCACTCCACTGTCCCACTCCCTCCCCCCCGCCCCCCCAAAAGGAGGTAGTGGTAGGGAACCTGAAGAAATATAAATAAATCACATCTAACTGTCCAGTTTTGTTAATGATTTTCAGCAATATTAAGTTACAGGCAGTTCTGTAGTGAAGAAAAGCTATCTCACTGACACAGTTTTTCTTACGTGCTGCAGTGAGAACATGAGGGATTCTCTAAACCCACTGATAAACTAACCAATCTAAGAAGAATTTTGCTTGAGGTACGCCAAACAAGTTATGTCATCCACACCTATGGGGAGAAGTTGTATATGGAGTATTGCAGCAAAATCCCTTAAATATGACAGCTATTTGAGAAAGAAAAAGCAATTCTTACCCATCGTGAAGGATCACTAATCAAATTAATAAAAAGGGTTGACAATTTCGTCCTCCGGACTTCCTGTGATGTTGCACAAGAAACTGCCATGAAGCATTCAGCACAGGCTTTCCTAACTCCCCACACATTATCAGAGCAGAGCTGGAAAAACCTCGGCAGCTGTGAAGAACACAGTAAGTAAGTTTGCAAGTCTTAACAGGCAGTACTTGTTTCAAAGCAAGTGCTTTTTTCATATTCATTTCCTTCACCTGGTTCTCTGCCCTCATACTCAGATGCATTAGTTTAACATTTGCAAGACAAAGAACACACATTCAGCAGCACCACCGTTCTAATCAGTTGCTCTCGTGTCACTTACAGATACAGATAAGGAAAGTTCACCTATCTGAAGAACAGCAAGAAAGTACTAACTTTCTAACCTGATTTATATATTTAAAAAAATCAAACCCAAAAAACCCAACTCGAAAAATATGATAGGTTTTCTGGGCTTGGAGATAAGACAAAACCTTATCTCTAAACCATTCTTTTAAAGCAGGTAACTTTGAAAGGAACAAAACCATAAATAATACTGGTGCATTAACATTTTACCTATTAGAGATCACTTCAGATTTTTGTAAGATTCTCACTGAAATGCAAAGGAAGAGCAACTTCAGAAAGAAAGAAAACCTTTCTTTTCCACCTAAACTTCTCTTTGTTAGATGTATGATTATCTATCAGCGCTTACCCTACAAAGCAGGACCTGAACTGCATAGAGGAAAAGGGGAATGAGATAAGCACTGCGTTTGGTGCAAGAGAAAACAGGTTTGAACAGAGCAGTGGTTTTACTCATGAAACTAGAGCATTTTGAAGTTGCTCAGGTGCTCGGGTTGTTTGGAAGCGGTAATGGTAAGGACGACACGGTGTACAGAGGGCCAGTGAAGCAAAGACATGCAGATCATCGCATGGCTGCCTTCAATTGCAACAGGCAGAGTGGTAAGAGGCAAGTAATACAATGACTGTTGCTACAGCACTGTTCTCAGTTACTGGTGTTCAGCTGTTCCTACTTTCTGCAGCAAAGTTTTCTGGACTTTGCTTCTGATTTCAAAAAAGCATTTATATTACAAAATGAAGTTTTATCTAAAGCCATTCAGGGTTTTGCCTTTTCTTTTTTATAATCCAAAAAGAGCAGAAAATGGCATTTTCTGTTATGGAAAGAGATCCCCAACTGTCCAGCCACATGTTACTGCTTTCACATAAAATAACCATCACCTTTTATTTCATAGTCTAATTGCACCCTCTACAAAGTTTTAATCCAAATTCATGACATGTATCACTAAGAGGGCATTTGTGTGAGATATCAGTTTGCATCCCCAATTAAGAAACATGCGGGATGTAAATCTGCACAATACTTCATTATCAAATGGCTTGAATCACACAGTACCTAGGAAAAATCCAGTAAATGCCGCAAGAACACAGGAAATGCCCCGAGGGTCACCCGAGGCCTTCCTGTCCCAATACCACATCTGCAAAAGGCTGCAGAGCCTCTTGTTGAAGTTGTGCCTGCATTTATACTCTCTCCATGTCAGTCGCTCCCTAATTCATGGCACTGACTCATCAACCTCCTCTGGCCATCCAGGAGCTCACCATCCACATCCCAAGGGGACAAAGCTTGAAGAAGGGTCCCAGCAACTCTCAGGCCGATTTCTGCTCCCTAGCCCTGTCACATCTCCAAGCCTAGCAACATCCACCAGCTCCCCTGGACACATCAGGGGAATGGGGGCCACTGTTAAGGATCCTTTGCTCACTGCTCCGTCCAGTTCCCTGCTCTTCCATTTTGAATTTGTATCTCTTCCCTTTACTTCACTTGCTACTGCCCAGACTCATTTATTTTCTCTGCCTTCCTTTCTCTAGAGGGCTGTGAGGCTTTGTTAGAGTCAGGAAAACTGCCTTTAAAAGAGTAAATCAATGAACAGCAACATTAAGTGATGCGGTTCAAAGAGAACACGTAAGTGTCACCATTTCCAGCAGTCTATACCTGCCCATACTCCTCCTGTATCTGCAATCTCTCATTGCATTTATGGACATTAGAAGACATGCTCCTGCCTACATCTTGCCTAATGTATTTTTGAACTTGGAAATACTCTCTGCCTCCACAGGCCGAGGTATTTTCTTCAATCTGCTTTAAACCCTTCTCCCAGTTCTAGAATTGAGTACCCCTTAGCTCTAGACTCTGTGACTTGGCAAGTAAGAGTTCTGTATTCATAGTAACTGCCTTCAAGGTTTTGTAAACGTCAATCACAACCTCACGTCAGCAAAACTGAAGAGTTACAACTTTTTCAGTCTCTCCTTAATAAGGGAATGTAGCAGTTGCCTAATAATTTCAGTTGCCCTTCTTCCATACCTTGTCCAGCTCCACTACTGACTTGTATTAAAAAGAAAAATCCTTCAAGAAATGGCTTACCAGCATTTCTTCAGTGGCTTGCTGCCCAACCACACTGCAGATATCTCCAAAATTGGCTGCACATACCTTGCAGACAAAATGCAAGAAATAATCACTAAGTCCATAGTTTTAATATAGCAAACAAAATCAAAGGAAAAAAAATAAACAGCCTTTAAAACCATAGAAACAGGTCTCAGTGCAAACTCAGTATCAGCTACTTCCCCATTCCATCAGTTCCCACAGTTTAAAAAAAACTTAAAATTGTTTTCTTCACCTCAAGCTTAAACAGCCTTTTCTAAACACGAAAGAACCACCCCAGAACTTAAGCGAAAGGGAAGGAGGATAAAATGCGTTCAGAGTGCTGTCAAATGAAAGAATACAAGCAGTTATCAAGGAAAACAGGCTACGCAACAGTGAGGTGAAACCAAAACACAGCCTCAGCACCTAAATACCATGATGGAGTACTGGTTTATTTCATCTTAATGAGCATCTTTAATTCCATCTATGCACAGAGATACGAGCTCAGGTGGCTGATGCTGTATCAGTTACAGTTGGTTCACACTTTCGTGGCTACCTACACAATAAGGACAAGCAGACTCTTTCTTTGTTTCTGACAATAAAGGTAGGGACTCTGGAAAAAAAACTCAGCATCAAATATAAAAATCTGTGGAAATGTGAGCTACAACGAAACCCCATAGCTTTCACTTACACATATCACAAATGAGATCTAATGGGAAAAAGTCATTTAGTCAAATGCAAGTTCCAAGTTCATGACGTTCCTTTCAGAGATAATCCAGACCAGATGCTATCTGACAGCTCATACCTTACGAACATGAAACATTCTGCAGTCACAGCACATCTCGCAAAACCTAGGAAGAACAAGTCTTTCCGTGATGTCCTTTCCCACCATGGAGGCCATTTTGCACATTATCTAAGGGTAAGACAGACACTAATCAGGGATGCCTGCACAACACACAATTCCGTGTCAGTTAAGCAGAGGCTTTTTATGTTTACTTTTCATTCTGATGCACATAATGTTATTGAAAAGTGTGAAAAATATTGAAAAAAAAATCCCTATCTTGAATGGAAAAGGTTTGGCCACTTCTGCAAAAAGCTTTTTTTTTTTTTCTTTTTACTTACCCCCTCCCCCCCGTGATGATGTAACACATCTGTAGAAGACATTGGTCTTTCACCAAACTAAATCAAATTCCTAACTAATGGAGATAACTGAACTCTCAGAAATTACTCTCATATCTTACGAAACAGACTTACACACAAAAAAAAAGAAAAACCAGACAAGATTCTTTCAGTAATCCAATACTTAACAAATATATATATTTACAGTTAACAGAAAATTATTGACAATACGCTTAAGTGACTTCAACTTCTGTATGATTTAAAAATCAATTGCAACACTGCATATTGTGCATATGCAACTCCCTAACATAGAACTACTGAAAAAGCATACCATACCAAAGAAAGTGACAACTTTTCCCTTTAACTGCTCTTTTGTTCTGATTTTTACTGAAACTTTCAAAAAAAGAAAGTAATCTAAAAGAATTTTATGTTTAACTTTCCTAATCATGTCAGTAGAACTATTTAAATTCTTTTTCCTATAATAACAAATCATTATTTTTCTAACGTCCAGGGGGTCGGTGAGTTACAGAAACCTTTGTCAAATTTCAATATCTTCAAAACAATGAAGACAGGTAAAACAATTTTGCTTTAAATTTTATTCCCTTATGTATTTGTAAGCTTCTTCAAGAAGTACTAGAAATTTGCTGCCAAATGCAATAGTGCCCAGTCTGCTTACAGTTTATGAGTCCAGTCACATTATGAAAGTAAAATATTAAATGAGGTCTCTCTCAAGCAAAAAGAAAGAAAAAAAAATCACCTAGCAAAAAGCACCAACATAAATTGCAAAAATTCAAGCGAAATATAAGGGTATACATCTTCTGCCATTTCTCCTTTTTAAATTAACTTACTAATTTGCTTACTATTTTAATTCAACACATAATAATTTTTAATTATTAAGGTTGTGTCTAATGCAAAAAAGAAAACCATCAACCATCCATGAGTTAATCAACTCAAGTGCTTATTATTTTGTCCAATAAAACAAAACAAAATTAAAACAGAGAACAGACATACAGCAAAGACCAACAGAATTCAAGCATTAAAGATTTTCCACTGATGGAAATTTTCCACATATGCTATTTAAACTTCCATAAAACAAACAAATCTGAAAAAAAAAAGCCCACAATAGCAGGTGCTTTAGGAGTCAATAAAATTAATCCCCTGCACTGTCTTCTCCAGCTGGGTTTTTCTTTACAGTATATATAAGCTATTGAATTTAAATCTAACCTTGACTGTAACGCAGCATGGAAAAAGTTACAGATTATTTATGGATAGGAATATAATTTTCTTCTCTTTAATACCACATCGATGTGCGACTTGGAAACAAATCACCACCACTGCAATATCAAGCACTCAAGCAAACTTTATACTGTGTGATTTGGTATTGCTGTTACTTACAGCCACGGCTTCTGTCTTCACATCATCGTTGCTGTCTGGAGCTGTCAGATCTATCAGAACAGGGCATACTTTGGTCTCCACATCATACCTCTCTATGAGTTCTTGCTCCAACAGAACTAACAATGCTGCCTGGCTTGTTTTTCTTACCTATCATCAAAAGACAAAAATTGAACCAAGGAATTCAAACAGAGGTTTTTTAGTTTTTAAGTATGTGTCCTGTGTTTTGCAAGCTGTACCTATATACTGCCACACGCCTATACTAATTGCACTCGGCGAGAGGATAAGTGCTCCAAAAGCACTTTTGCAAATGCTTCATGTTTGAAACAAATTATATTTGAACCCAAGAACACCTGCATATTGTGAACTAAGGCAATGCTGTTATAAAAGTGTCCACCTACATACTTCCCAAAACACAGGACAATGTCAAAAAAAGTTGTCAAGGCAAAGCTCATGCAATACATAAAGAACAGCAGCACAACTAATGGGGAGTAACAAAAGTCCTAAGGAATGTGAATTTTATTAAACAAATCCTCTTTTTCTGAGATTAAGAAGTGTGGCTGACAATGAATAACTGTGTCAATTTCAAATGTATTTGAAACTCCAAGAGACAAGTTTGCTTAGACCCATCTAGAAAAAAAAAGATGACTGTCAAAAATGAGATAAACATTAATAATTGACTTCATACACAGCTAACCCTTGCCTCTGAAAAAAAGTAATTTCATCAGAAATGAAAACATTACATACAGCAAGAGTCTACATATTGCAATGCAGCAATTTTGAAAACACCTTCGAGATCTTTGTTTCGGAGCAAACCAGCCAAATGAACTATGGAGTATCAACAGAGGTTAAGACCATGAAAAGAATCGCTGAATCGGCTAGCAAGAGAGTATCAAGCAGAAGAATGGTTGTTGCATTATACATGAATTAGCAAAACAACAACTAAGAAAGAGAGGTTTGGGTACCTATTATTAATTATGGAAAATCTGGAAAATGCAAGGGAAAAAAAAGTGACAAATTCAAAGGCCTAAAATACTTAAAATAACCTATCACCTAGGATTAGTCTAGTCTGAGATGATGTGGATAAGCCTAAAGAAAGCCTTAGGCAAGCTAACTCATACATGCAGAGAAACAAACCACACAAATTCAATCCAAAAGTTTTATTGGATTGATATACAAATAACTGGTCATGAAGGTACACAACGGCGTAAAAAATTTGAATTATACCAAGGAGTCAGTTTTTCATGACTACTGTTCCTTTTAGTCAGAATTCGAATTATGCAAGCTTATCAAAATGACTGATTTTGTCCATAAGAATACAACACCAGATGAAAGGCCCCAAATCAGAACAGATCACTTTAGATGAAAAAATGTTGGAAATTTTCTTTTAATTAAAGTTCAGAGTGTCATGTATTTCATGTCCATTCAAAATCTTTTTACACCAAAATACTACACACTTGCACGATGCTGAATTATTTAAGTTTAGCATCACACCAGGTATATTCAACTAGCTAATAAACTATTTGTAAAAGACACTTACCTGGTTATTCTGGTCTGCGAGGTATCGTACCACAATAGGCAGTAAGTATTTGGAAAAAGCATATGGGATTGAAGGTCTGTTTTCTTGACAGAACATAGCAATATGAGGCACCTGTTCCATCAGTTCTGCCCGCACTGTAGGCTCTGTCAGGGTCAAAATAAAACCAAAAAAGTCACAATAAATGTTTACCAGCATACTGCCAGATACTGTCAGAATAAGCTTGTTACAGTCCTATACAAAGTATGTTCTTAGGTGTTCATGTCAGCATGTTTATGTCAAGCTTCATTTTGACAAGCACCATCTTTTTGCAAAACCAGGTACAGCTACACTCTGTACTGCTAAACTACTAAAAAGGCGGTTCGCACATTCTTAGTAAAAAAAACAAGAGGAGGTATAAGAGAGCAAGCCACCAAACATTATGTGTACCAGAATCTGTCTGAACTCCCTACGAGCCTCACTTACTTCAAAGCAGCCTGCTAAGCAGAAAGCCAACCCAAAATGGGCACCACTATGAGAAGAAACGAACTGAGGGGGACTCCTGGCCACAGCCTCCCACGCAGGAAAGATCCCACCGAGGAGGACAGCCAGCCATAGCCATAGATGCTCCATTTAATTCTTTGCTTTTTAAGGCTACTGATATTTTCATCAAATGGAATTGGTCCTGCATTTTTCCAGTTGCTTCTGTTAAACCTTTCAGGTACGTTTTTCATCAAAAGTTGGTGACTATTTAAAACATATTTCATCCACTTTTTAAATTCAGAAAATGGTGCACTGCTTGAACTAATCCTAATCCCCGCAGAACACGCACATCTATTTGGGGGATGAGAGGAGACGCAAGAAAAGAAATATAAGCATGTATTAAATTTCAACTATTAAAAAAACAGCTTCAATTTAAGAAGTAGGTCATTATCACATGCCTGATAGTCCACTTTTCCACGGAAAAAAAATATAGTTTTAGAACTAAGTATTTCTGTCCTTTCAGAATTTGCCAACATCTGTCGTTACTATTAGAGAACTGATTACATATAAAAACACAGAACGAAAACCCATCAATTACTCTCAAGTTACAGTAATTTGATTTACAATATTTTAAATAAGACGATGTATACTGTTCACAGGATACACATGCCTGACTAAATTTTTACCTATGAATTGTTCAGGTAAAACTTAACGGTATGGAATTAACATGATACACTAAAAATACAACCTTTTGTTAAACAGAAGCATGTAACTTGCATTGTATTTAACATGGCCAATGCACATAGTACTTGGGGCAGGAAGAAATCAACTAAAGTAGGTCAGCTGTTTTGAAAACTAAAGTTAGCAAAACCATCTATTTTCTTCCTACTTTGAATTCTGGTCCTCTTTCCTGACAAGGCCTAGCTGCTTCTTCTAAGAGGCCTTGAAAACACCCTCCATTTGCGCCCGCCCAGCAGCCGACAGAGCACAGCAACTAGAAATTGCAGAGTCCTTCCTCGCTGAGCACCTTTTGAGATGGTGAAAGCCATCACCACTGCAGACAGATGGTACACAGCCCCTCTCCCAGGGGCAACTCTTTTGAAAAGGGATGCAGCTGGGGAGCCGAGCAGAGTGAGGAACCACCAGGCTGGGCAAGGAGGGATGGAGGGCTGAGAGGTGTGTGACAAAGGAGGTAAGACTAGCGAGAAAAGGGAAGGGAGACTGGAACTTGCTGGACAAGAAACTGGAACCAGGGCCCAATGTAAGGGCTGGAGGGACTCACTCCCACCTTTCCCATACGGCTGCTATTTCAAGGCATGCCCACGACATGATCTATGGGCACAAGAGACTTATGTCACAACCCTTATCACTAGGATCTCATTCTCACTTCTGAGGACTCCTGCCTCATTTCTTGCAGCAGACAGAAGACGACTTGGGGCAGAGGGGGCGGTGGCAGTGCAGAGGTAAGGGAGAGCAAGGAAGATAAATTTGGCTGAGGCTGCATGTTTGCCACCAGTGCTTCTTAAACCGTTTCCAAATTTGCTTCAGGCAGTTCCCACCCTCCCAAACTTGCAGCTTCCATTATGCCAAAGCAACTCCTCAGACAGCTAGACAACAAACCGTATCAAATAAGCGATCTGGCTGACACCGCTTTTGCCACCCTACAGCAGCATGATTAAACAGCAAGAAGTGGCACTTGGATTGGTTTCCAGGTGCAGTCACACATTTCCTTCAAGGAGCAGAACTATTTGATCATGGAATCAAGCAAGTGATAAGTGGTAACAGAGTATGCTGGGACTGCTGACTGTGATATTACCATCAAAATAGAGTGAAAGAAGCAAAATGCTGAGAAACCCAATTTTTTCCTTTGCCTAGCATGAAGCTATACAAAATGCTCAAGCCAGACACTTCACAGAGTAACTGCAAAACTACTCATTTGATTGCAGTCCAAACTCGGTGTCTTCACTGCTGAAGAAATACCACCACGGCAAACAAAGCCAACAAGAGCTCTGTATTAAGCATATCAAGAGCTACGCATAAAGCTTCAGACACTAGGCACTCAAAACGGGCAGATTGTTTTGACTTTGATACCTCTACAGTTTGCCTACCCAGTGGTAAAGTAACGGCAACACTCTCTTTCCCCAAATTGACTAGGTTTGCGGTGAAGTTGAAGTCATAAATTTCCTTACGAAGCACTCCAGTAGGAGAGCAATGAGTATCAAAAACATAAGATGCTTTTTCTCCAGAACGGTGTTCATCTATTATGCAGCACTTCAGAGAGTGGCCACACTGCCTGACAATACTGAAGAGCTGCTCACATGAAGTCAGCCCCCTTCCTCCTGAGCTTTGGCTTTGTGAGGAACAGAGACAGATGAGAAGATGATGCAATTAAAGATTTGAAAAAATCATGCCCAGGAGTGAATTAGAACTGTAAAGTCCCCTTAGTTCTCACATTCCCTAACTTCTAAGTGCATGGCTCTGTGATCTTAGTAAGGTCAGTTCAAAATAACAAACAAACCAGCACCGTGTACGTAACTGGCTGTGTAACACACCACCGTAATTCACTATCAAAAAGGCATTTGTGCTGTTCTGGGGAATTACTGCTGCTAGGCAAGAACCTGAACCTTAAGCTTACCAATTTAGTAAGAGCTCAATTCTTCCAAACACTGAAGCATATGTTCCAGTGTGTACTGGATACAGCCTAATCGGGTTACAGTAGAGCTTTCTTGTGCATTATGTTTCCCAAACACCCAAGCAACAGTGCCAAAAAATTTCCACTAAAAGATACAGCACTTGCTCATTCTCTTCATCTGTTCCTCCACTTTGTCTTCAGCTTAGACAGGTTGCAGCTCCAAATACAGATTCCAGCAGGCTTCAATATATGACAGTGTCTGCCATTTCAGTTTAAACTTTTCTATTGTTTATAACCAAATTTATGGTTTGGTCATCAACACAGTGAACAAAGCATGGCAGCATCAGTTAAAATTATTACACACTGCTTCTTAAAGCAAAAGCTCATCCAGCTGCGGAATACATCTGTATTACATATTTTTTTGCACTGTACAATACTGTCAGGACCAAGCTTTCACACAGTATAAACGAAGTCTGGGTGGAGAATTTTGCTTCACATCGAGACTGAAAGTTTCTATTTTAGGCACTCTGGAAAATCACTGTGTACAATTAGGTTCTCCATAACATTCACCTGGAACAGTAATTTTTACGTTTGGCAGAGGAAGCACTTTTAAAATCTGCTCTTTTCAAATTATCTCCTGAAGGTACAAGTCTATGCTTTAAAGCAGCAGGCTACTAGAAAAAAAGGTGCAACTTGTCAAAACAAAAAAATTTGAAAATAAATATTAATATAAAAAATTGGATCTCAGAAGCAAACTTATAGTTGTTGTTCTCATTCATTAGCGCTTTATTTCATTCTATCAGGTCTTGTGTATTCACAGAATCATAGAACGGTTTGGTTGGAAGGGACCTTAAAGCCCATCCCGTTCCAACCCCCTGCCATGGGCAGGGACACCTTCCACCAGACCAGGTTGCTCACAGCCCCATCCAACCTGGCCTGGAACACTTCCAGGGACGGGGCACGCACAGCTTCTCTGGGAAACCTGTGCCAGTGCCCCACCACCCTCACCATGAAGAATTTCTTCCTTGTATCTCATCTAAATCTGCCCCCTTCCAGTTTAAAGCCATTGCCCCTTGTCCTATCACTACAGGCCCTTGTAAAAAGTCCCTCCCCAGCTTTCTTGTCGGCCCCTTTAGGTACTAGAAGGCTGCTAGATACAAAAGTATACTGAATTGAGTTTTAGAAATCAAGAAAAACTAAGAGAATGACAGAAGCAAGTGAAGATAGACTTCCATTTCTTCTGTTTGTGAAATAACTTTGAAAAGAAGTTGCCAGAATAAAATGACACAGTTCTACCTCTCTTGATTTCCAGACCACATGAAACCAGGAACACACTCCAATCAACATCTCCAGAACCTGGTCAGACTTTGATCTGCACACACCAACCTTCAGTTTTAGCTATTTCACAAATCACCATTTAAATCAACATCCCAAACTAACTCCAAAATCATAGAAGTAATTAACTGTTCCTTCCTCACCCATGAAAAAACATCTAGGTTTCCCCCTAGAATTTGACACCATCTCTCTTGTAAGCAAAGTGCCAGCATACTCATCTAGCTACTCCTAGCACATACACTTAGCTTTCCTATATAAATGTGTAATGTTTATTCCAGCCCTGCTGAGGCTTCAGTTCACTCTGTATTCCACTTCAGCTATGAGAAAATAAAGCACCACTGTTAGCTGAATACTGGAAATTAAAAGGGGGTTACTGCAGAGCTGCACAGTATAATGCCAACTAATTGCTCCAGAACAGTTATTTATAAATGAAGTAATTATTCCACAGCCAGCTCACAACTAGATTTATTTCACAATAACTTACCCTGCAACAACATACAGTATTTAGAAGAAATTCTGCAAAGCTTTCATTATCCCAAAATGACCGTTCTGGAATACAAGCAGCAGTCAATTTCCCCTACATTTGTGAGGGGCTGTAAGGTTTCTGTGTTTTAAAAGTGTATATGAAGAACAGCTACTGGTGATGTTAATGCTGCTTTAACTGACAATTTTGATGAATGTTTTGAGTACACCCGAATACTAATAATATTAATAATT